AAAAATATAAATAAATAATAAAAGCCTGGCCCTATTTGCTTTTTTAAAGAAATTACTGTCTAAGAAAGTGGCTTTGATACCTGTAATACCTTTTTAAAAAAAGCCATGAGTAATTTATTGCATGTTTTTCCATTTTTATTTTTCTGTCCAAAATGTTTGGATCCTTGTATTTATCTTCTCATTTCATTTTTAGTTGGCTAATTTTAATTTGCTGACTGAAGGATCTGACAATGCCTTGAGCATTGCTCTTGCGTTCTTATCTTTTATTTATGTTAGTTTTCTTCTGTTTCCAGTAATCCAAACCTAAGAATTTGAAGAAATTAGAATTCACATGCACTTCTGAAGCCAGGAAGTACTTTCTTCAAAAATTGCAAGGGACCTTAACAAGCTTATCTATGCAGATATGTTTAAGTAGAACAAAATTTTAAGTTAGTGCTCAGATACCATCACTGGCCTAAAGGTGTTAAGCTGTTCTTCAGTGATTATTTTATAGTTCTATTTTGCCAGTGTTCTAAAAAAGACAACAGCAATTAATAGCTCTCTAGAATTTTCAGAGACCTAAAGAAATTAGATCCCCAAGTCTTGGCAGAGGTCAGTGAGATTTGGAAACTAAACTTCCTGAAGCATCTTTAAAAATTTCTTCCCTAGGAAATGACAGCAATATCCAACAAAATCATGATTTGAGACTATTTTTGTACTATTCCACCAATTCTGCTTTGATTCCATCTTATACCCTGCAGGATGTTGTACTGAATCTGGGAAGTGTTTAGATGCATTTGAATGCTGCTGCTTATATTGTTTAATTTTATAGCAGAAAATACGGAGCAATAAAATGTTTCACAAGGCACTTCAAAGCACATACCTTTTCCATAGTTCACATCTGTTGGTAGCCTCAAGTGTTGGAGCTTGCCAGTGGAATTTTTATTTCCTAGAGAGTTGGGGATGAAGCAGCTTTTGTTTCCTTGGCTTTTTCTTGATGTTATGTAACCACTTGAAGGAAATAAAAATGTGGTAATTGATATGCTGCTAAACAGGTAAGAGACAGGGCTTTAATGTCAGTGAGAGACTGTGTGTTACCTGACGTGGTGCCCCAGGTGAAGAGTAAGCTAGACACTTATCAGGGATATAAAGATTGAAGAAACAGAAAGGAGCTCGATTTGTTAATAGTTAGACTGATGTGTAAAGAGGCATTATTAAGCATTGGGAAAAAAAACCAAAACAGTATAGTATACTAGTATAGAGGGTTTTCTTTGAGAACAGAAGAATTCAAAACAGAGTGTTGAAGGAATTGAAAGTTATTAGTGGCTCTGCATATATCTTTAGATGAAGTTTCAACACTTGAGTGAACTTTGGTCCAAATTAATCCTTATTTGTGAACGCAGTTGGTCTCCCAGCAATACTTTGTTTCAGCAGAAACCATATACATGACAAACATAATATTGTGAGAATATATTTTTGTCAAACCTTACTCTTTGTTTCCCATAGACCCTGACAACTCCCAGAACAGTGGGGGTTAGTAAGGATGAACCAAGTAAGTTTAACACGTAGCTTTAAACAATTTTGAATCATCAGACTGTGAGGAATTACTATGCCATATAAAGCATACCTTTGTAAAAATGGCAGTAACTATTAGTATTAGTTACTCATATTAGTTACTCCTAAGAGACAGGAAGGACAAAATTAGGAAAGATACAGTGTATTTAAAAATTGAGTTTAAATTTTTGGTGCTTCACGCTTCAGTCATTCCCAAGAACCCTTCACTATGTGTAACCAGTAACCATCCATCTGGTGATGTTCTTGCATTATATTAGGATAAGTATCATTCTCTGCATTTGCCAATAACACTAAAAAAATCTCCCTGATTCTATGTGTAACCAAGTTATTTGTTGCCTGCTTAGAAATATGCCTTTTGTGGTGTTTTTTTTTAAATAATCTTCTTCAAGATATTTCCTGTAAGAAATGTTTGACTACATTATGTTCTTTTTTACATTATTCTTTTCTGAGCCTATGACTTTGTAACGTCCAGTTGATGAGTTTGGGAATCATAAGGATTCTCTACGTTTTCTTTTGGTGAAAAACAAATAATAATTGAGTAACCAAACAGTTTATTACTAATTACACAATAACCTAAGATTTTAAATTTAGTACAGTCATTCAGAGACTTTATCATTATATATTGATTTTGTTATTCTGAGTTTGTGATATTTAATATTTTTCATTAAGCATTCACTTCTAATTAAGTATTTCCTGATGATTAAAAAAAAATAATCCTAGCAAGTCCTGAGGACATCCATGATACATGTTTGGTCTGAATGTGACAAAGCTGAAGTTTTATCAGTGATTAGAGAGCATATTACTGCTTTTTCTTCTGAGAATCACTAATTTTTTCAAACACTTGCATGACCTATTACAGAGTTCTGCTATATGTAAGAAATTGTCAGACTTGATCATCAGACTGTGAGGACAGACAGACAGATCATGAATTCCTTTGCAATTTATTAATGGACTCTAGCATTAATTGTCCTAGCAGAAATACCCAGTGGCTAACATTCTACTATTTCAAAGTATTTCTGCCAAAATATCATTGCCCAGGGAATAAAGCTGTGCTCCTTCCCAGCAGATAATTTCTCACAATCTAAAAATTTTTATGAAAAAATTTGTTGAGGCAAAAACTGCAGCTTGAGTTGGTGACACAGGTGAAACATCACAAATACGAGTCATCTGTCATCCAGTTAATTGCTGACTCGACTTATGGAAGTGGCCAACAGTCTGTTCATCTGCCAAACAAACAAAAAACCAAACAGGCTGGACTATAAGATTGCACTTCTAGAGAAATGATTGCAGCAGCCAACCCTTGTGGTACCTGTAGATATCATAATTACAGGGCAATCATTCTCTGCATGCTTCCATAGCTAGTTTTGAGAGTTAATGACCAGTTCTCTCAGAATTGCCCAGGAACTCCAGGCTGGTTTTTATCTCCATTTAAAGTATTTCAAACACCCTAAAACTTTACTGACAGTCTCTTGGCTGGTATGCTATCCAGTAAATTGTTTCTGGTAATCTATTGAGAGTGAGTGGACTTTTAAAATAATACTGGACTGATACTTGACAAATACATAATGTCAGACAAGAACAACCCTGGGCAATCATATAAAATCTCTAAATGCTCTAAGATGTCACCCCATAATCAGAAGAATGCTTTTTCACTTCCTGGTGTACACGTGTTTGGGACTATCTGTCATACCATGGAAGGCTCCACTCCATACAAATCATGTCTACATGCTTGACTTTACTACTCTGGCCAAGGAAAGTAAATTCTTCTGCTAGTTCAGCTACGTTTGACTTTCAAGTGCAACATCTGAACTTCCAGTGTATTGCAGAGTTGTGGTTTTTTGTTGTTTTTTTTAGCTGTTTTATTTCATAACTTATTATTGCTTAATAGATCAAGGATTATATCAGGGCTGAAAATACTTCTCCTTATTAAAATGGAAAATAAATTTGAAAAAGGAAACATGATCATAAGTTTGTTCCACCTCGTGTCCCTATTGATTCCTTATCAGATGTAAACCTTCTTCATCCTAAACCCCATTTGTGTTTCTGTCTGATGTCTGTAAACATTCCTCCTCACCATGAGATAGTGCCATGCTTCAGGAAACATCCTGGTTTGGGAAACTGAAACCCTCCTGAAGCAGGCTGGGAGCTGCAAGACATGTAATGTTCTGGATTTTGTTTATTTGTTAATGTGAAACACGCCTCATAAAATATTTGGGTCATAATATATGACTTGTGTTCTGAAAACCTGGGGAGTTGATAGCTGTTGCTTCACTAATAACGAAAGCTTTGTTAACAAAAATCAAAATTGCAGCACTTCTCAAAAACAATGTATTGGAAACACTGCCTGCGTACAGAAAATGTGATACTGATGTCAGGGTAATAGTAGAATATCACAGTTGCAATTCGGCACGACTGTTACCTACAGAATTTCTCTGGAAGATCATCTCTATTGCCTTGTTCATTTGTCTAAACACAGGTGCAACAAAGCAGACTTTAAGAGAGTTCTACAAAATCTCCAGTTGTGGTTATGACTAAATATGTCATGCTTTTATATATTGGATAAGACTCTTCAACTTTAAACATCTTCCCAAATTACAGGGGCAGAAAGAGTTTAACAGTAATTCTCAACTTCCTGCTTGAGTGACCTTTTGTGTGTAGATGGTGAAGCTCTACAGGCCCACAGAGCAGTGCTTGTCTTGGCCATCACTTGGCCTTTGCCTTATGGCAGAGATGTAGTCTGGCCAGAGGGTGTGAAGCGAAGATAGTCTGAGCAATGTCCCGCTCCTGTCGCCAGTGATAAGCATTCTACATGTTTCTCTTGAATGGAACCAAGGTCAGGAGATCTGTTTTTTCCCTAAATTGAAGAAATATGTTGAAACTTGATGTGCAGAACCAGCTAATGCTTCCATGCCACCTCTTTGTCCAGCAAACTGAAACCGGATGGAGCAAAGATGCTCCTGGGATCCTAACTGGCTATCATCTTTTCTGCCGTTGTGTTAGCTGACAAGATCTCAGTCCAAACCAGAAATAAAGAGCATGCAACTTGTGACCTCTTGTTCCTTGCTGGGAGAAAACAGCCTGAGGCAATGCTGGCAGAGCTGACACTAAGAAACATGTAGAACAGAGCTCCAGCTGCTTTGCTACTGCACATCCTGCTTCAACAATCCACATTTCAGCCCCTTCGTATCTCTCATGGGAGACAGCAATAGGAATGAAGATGAGGCTTCTTTCCTGCTAATGCAGATGGTGGGGTGGGCAGAGCTGGTACAGTTGAGATGGGCTGGGACTGGGTTGGGCTGCAGCGACTGCAAGTCTAACTACATAAGAGTCATTTGGATAAACTGTCTTATCTCATCTAAAATGAAGAGAATGTAATTGAAAAATGCAATCACGTGTCTGTAATTGTTCCATAGTTCTTAGAGATGATATTTCTTTTTCAAATATAGCTTGCTGATGACCAGGGATTGGTGTTGATGACAACGGTTGCCATGCCAGTATTTAGTAAGCAAAATGAGACTGTAAGTACTCAAGACTATTTCTGTCATGTGACCTAATAAGATTTTATCCTACTCTAAAAATTTTTCTTCTTATTTTTTCTGCAGTTAGTATCCCTTTGTTAGCATAAAAATGTAGACAAATAATCCCAAATAACTATACTCTAGAAACCATAGAAAAATAATGAAACGCTATGTCTAAGAGAAAATCTCAGATTCTAGGCTTTAGGGTTTTCTTATTCTATACTACAATTTTACAAAAAAATTATATGCTTTTCTTCTTTGCACTGGTATGCTTCTATTTCGTAGGCTCAGAATTTAATTAGTCGCATGTATATTATGTATGTATCTGCTTCTCTTTACTAATTTAACAGGTTATTAAAAAAATTGCATGTACTTTCCCCTTAATGCTTAATCTTTCTCTTTTGTTTATCAAATGGCAGGAGAAATTGGGAAAGAAAGGAGTAACATATTTTTAACAGTAGTTTTTCATTCAAAATTTATTTTCAATGAGGAAGTTTTCTGTTGAAGGACTCATGTATAAAAAATTTGCATGCCTTTTCTGTAGGAATTGCAGATAAGGTAGAAAGGAGCAATGTTATTGATTAAATGATTATATGATTATTTGATCAAATGAGTTTTACCAGCCACTCCTTTCATAATTTTTTAAATTATTTTGTCTGTTATCTCTTCAATTCTGCAGAGTAGCTGCAGTGTAAAGTGAGTGGTGAGAATGTTCATTATTGTTGTTGTTCCATGTGCATCTTCTATTGTTCTTTTCAGAGATCTAAAGGGATTCTCCTGGGAGTAGTTGGCACAGATGTTCCAGTTAAAGAGCTTTTAAAAACTATTCCAAAATATAAGGTAACACACAAATGATAATATGTCTTTCTATAACATAACATAATTTACTTAGCATGTTAATATTGTTTATACTGATGTAGCTCCATTATTTCACCATTTTTTAAAGGAATTCTAGCTCTGTATTTTCTGATGGCTAAATGTCATTGGTCCTGAGATCAAGTGCAGTTTTTAATGCCAAAATTAATATACTGCTTGATATTCACATTTTTGCAGATCACACTGTGCTCTAGAAGATAATATTAAGTATTGACCACAATAAAATCAATGATATGATTCAACTACTTAAAATTATCAGAAATTCATGCTGAAAATTTGCATAACTTTGTATGGAAACTGTACGAAAATCTATCCTTAACATGGCTTCAGTTCCTGCCTAACCAGACTAGTGATTCCTTCTCTCCTATCCAGTATTTGCTAGCTATTTCCCTCTACTTAGCTTTCCAAAGTCAGAGACAACTCTAATATAAAAATCTTAAAAAATAGTTATGCTAAAACTTTTCAAAATTTGTTTAATCTATTGTGAAACTTTTGTAACTCATTAAAAGTAGGCTTCAGGCAAATGCAAAGATATAATTACTTTTCATTTATATTTGATGCAATATGTTAGTATTTCACTCCTTCTCTATGTCTGAAATGCTTTACTATAGTGCTGTTTTACTCACAAATTAAAATTAAATGAATGTTTTCCAGTGAATTCCTAGTGGAATCTTTTTGCAAGACAAATGAGCACATAACACAGTACCACAGACAGCCATTACCAGCTACTGAAATAGCCACATTTTGATGTGTACCTGTACTGAGCATAAATTTGTATGTCATACTTTCCTCTTAATTGGCTGCCATGCTCTCATTTACTGACTTCTAAGAGCGTGGAGGAATAAGCCGACTTGTGAGTGCCTTTGTATATTCCTATAAGTTTTCGTAGATAATTCTAGTTAGGAGGAAAAAACCCTACTGTCGATTTTAATTCTAATTTGAATACATTAGCAATTACCAAATGATTCTGTAGATTGATATGCAATAACTGGAAAGTTTAATGTAAACAAGAATTTGATACAAACAATGCATAAAATACTGGCAATAATGTTCATAAGGTGTATTGGAGCAATTTCCTGGGACCTGGATCCCACTAGGTTAGATGGTATACAAACACAGAACAGAAAAGCTGTCCCAACTGTAAAGAGTTTGCAGACTATGGGAAGAAGCAGCAGATAACTCCGTACTGATGTCAGAACATAGTGAACAGAGGCCTTGCTGGTCAGGATAAATAACAGAGCACAGTCTCAGCATGCTAAGTACAAAGGTTAGTTAACTGCAACTTACACTTTCGTCTATGCGGAAATACAGAATCAGTAGGAGGTAGAAGAGGAAGAAGCAAAATTTGCTCCTTTGCAAAATTTGGAGCAATAGGAACAATCTTTGGAGCAGTCTTCTAAGGAGTTATGGGTAGAGCAAATTTCATTTGTAATGAGAAGGAAAAACACTGCTGTAACTGCAGAAATGAAAGCCTGGCTGTGCATGGCTGGATAGAAAAGACCGTATCACAGCGATGTTATTCACAAGTCATCTGTAAGATTTGGACACAGCCCGAATACAAGAGCCTAGAGAGAGTGTGGGGCCTGAACGGCAGATATTTCAGCAGAGTTACAGTGGTTCAGAAAAGAAGATAAGCAGGAAAATTAAAATTTCTGGTTTTGTCATACGATACTCTTATTTTTTAAGACTCAGTTTTCTGTGGAAGTAATATATGATCCTCTTTCTGAATATTGGACTTTTTATTTGAAGGTACGTTTTATATTGCAGGATGTAATGCAAGAGGGGATTATTACAGGAGGCACCAATATCATGCAATACAGTTAGGTTAGTTATAACTTGAGTTATAACTTCCAGTCTCACATACCATAAACATTTCTGAACAGTAAAAAGACCATGCAATTGCAAGAGCATAATCACCCCTGAGACCCATTCCTGTAGAGGCAGCATGTGAAATAAAATTCACACAGGGATATAAAATGATTGGTTGGAAATAGAATTCTGCTGACCTGGAATTCTCTCAGCTTGGATGAGGTGGATTTTATGCAGAGGAAGATGAATAATAACAATGAGCTATTTTCAGCAGTCATTATCTAGACTAAACTTCCCCAGATGTCAGTGGCAGTTTCTCCTGAATAAGGTAGGATTGGATTTAGTAATACTTCGTTTTCACGTGGCATTTTACAGCAGTTAGAAAAAGTTTTTTCGTTTCTGAATCAGTCATTTGGAGACAGAGTTCAAGCTTTAAAATCGCAATACTGCTGTAAGTGGTAGTATCTCTAAAACCGAAACATTTTAAACGCAGAGAATGTGCAGTTTCACATATTGCACAACACACAATAAAATACTACCCTTGGAATCTGGGTATGCTTCAAATAGGCAAATATTTTTTTCCTGTGAAGTATACCACCCACGTTTATTTCCTTACCTGACTTCCGTTGCTTGGATGTCATTCTGCAGTTATCAACACAGACAATTATACTTGAGATCTGATATTTAGCCAACAGCTAGTTCGCTTGTCATACTATAATAGGTAAAATATGTCCACTGTTACTATTTTGGTTATCCCTCCTTTATGAAGAGATGCCAAGAACATATCACCTTCTATTACTTTCACTGAAGTTTATTGCTTTAGGAAAACCACTAATTTATGCAACAATCTTCTATATGGCAGTTACAGTTGACCATATACAATCATTCACAGAGAGACATGGTATAAATCTACCTGGTACGTTTTCTCTGTCACCTTGCCATGATTATCATACTCTGGTTTATATTTCCAGAAAATTACAGGAACCAACAGACTTGCTGTCCTACTCGCATCTTAAAAATGATTCTGACTTGTCAACCTTGCTCACCTTGCTTTATGACAGACAAATTCTTAAGGACTCACTTCAGCAAAGAATTTAAGAACATACTAGAGTAAAATAAAAAGGTTGTTGGTAGTGAGAAACGTAAAGCAATTGCCAAAGCAAGACAGTTCTGGGGTTTTGGGTTTGGTTTTGTTTTTTCTGGTTGGCTGGGGTTTTTTAATACCTCAGTGCATCACATGCTTAAATAAAGATATATGGGTTGGTACATTACTTCCAAATTGGAAAAAAAATGGATAAGATAGTATAGTGAGATGTACTCTTTGCCTGGTAAAAGCTGCATACTGAATCCACAGAAAGGTTCTATCTTAGCAGCAAGTTTATGCTAAGAAGGGATGTTTGAATGACCACATGAAGGATTTGAACGTGTGTTTATTGCATTCAGTGGGTGCAATCAGCTGTGTAATAGGCATATTGTTAAAAGAGTAGTATTGTTATTTAAGTAAGTGCAGTGCTAAATTTGATTAGAAATACGGTTAGGCCTCCTAAAGCGTTTCATTGCTCTCAGATGATCTCCCATGGTTCCACTCGGTACAAATATGTAAACTACATGAGTTTCTTTAGTAGAAACATGCCGTCTTCTGTGGCTCCAGAGGAACTTGAATTAACAGAGAGGTAAAATACCTTTAGGACTGGTAGATGTAAGTGTCACATATGGCAGGCCATGGCCTGCTCTCTGTATCTGCACATTCAATACCATTGATTTAAATGGCTCTTTTACAACATCACTTGAATACCTGAAGAAAGCTGAACATTGCCACTGCTTGGAATATGTGAATTGACTCAATTCCAGTATCCCTTTGCTTTGGCACATGCTCTGATGTTTGCCACGTACTATGGTGTCTCATGTATGTGTGTATCTCTAATTCACTTCAAAGCACATAGAAATAAGTGCCCTAGATAGCAAAGTGTGTGTGACATTTTAAAATTGTGCTATATGCTGAATTCATCACAATGACAGGTTCTCATTTTTACAAAATGTCAAGGATCAGAGCTTTGCATATGTTATAATGAAATACTGTGTGCATAAGGGTTATGAATGCCAGCTTTAAGCCCTGGCTAACCAAATTTTTACCTGATTTTTTTTTTTTGTTTAAGAATTTACTGGAGACCATGCTAATTAGTATTTCTTATTTACTCTTACAGTTAGGTATTCATGGATATGCTTTTGCAATTACAAACAATGGATATATTTTGACTCATCCAGAACTTAGGCCTTTGGTAAGAATACTATTTACTGTTCTATTTTATCTAGCTATATGTGTTCCATTTGTTTTTATTTTAGTGTGAATAATGTAATAATATTTATTAAAAAATTAAGTACAAGAGACCAGTTACTTTATATTGCTATGTAACACATTATAATTCTTGGTAAATTTACCTCTGGAAACAAAGTTTAGCATGAAAAAAAAAACAAGGAAAATAAATATACAAGTTGTTTCTGCAAAAGATACAGGCCTCCATTACTGCAAAACGGCAAAGCCCAAAATTGCTATAATTATGTTCATTTTACATTGAAATGGAATGCTGGAATGCTCTATTGCTATGTAATAACCCCTATTTGTCATGTTAAAGTGTTAAAGCTAATTTAATATATGTGCAGAAATTTCAGAAAAGCGTATTCTTAAGCAAAATAGGGGCACAAGGGATTTTTGTACTAAAAGAGAAATAGCAGCAAATTTTACCTTTAGTTTTCCTTATCATCTTGTTTGCATTAATCACAGAAAGAAAAATAGAAGTGCCTATTACGCAAATGTTTATCAACTTAACACCCTAGAGAACTGGTACATTCTTGATTGCATCATTGTTTAGAAACAGCACTTGCAAGTGTTCCATCATTATCAACTCTTTGCAAAGCATCAGTATTAATGATTCCACTGCTGTATACACGTGGATGCCATATGTATTTCTCATGCAAGCACTTCAAGTACTGTCTGATTGCAACAGTATTTTAGTAGAAAACAGAAATATTAATTGGATGGATGATTTCATATAAGAATAAAATTATTGAAAAGCATGATTTATTAAAGTCATTAGCATATGTGATGTTTTCATTCAGCAAAAGAGTATGTCTTTCTAAGATTTGGGCTAGGAATTACACACTTAATTAACATTTGTATTTGCACTTATTGTTTCCCCATTTATTTTTTAACTGGAGTAGAGCTTATGAAAAGTTCAACAGGGGGACTTCCATGGGTGAATGTAAAACATTTTCTCAGTAACTTCACTGTAAAACAGACAATCTAATGGCAAAGTAGACATTATAGTATCTTGGAAGGAATTTAAAAATAAATGGGTTAATTACCATTTTTCTTCTGAGAATATCACCCATGATTCTGGACAGTTGAATTTTTCACAACTGTGGAAAAGATAATGATACCTGTAGAGAATTTGGCAAATTACTGACCAATAAGCAATACAATTCTCAGAAATGGCTCTTACAAATTACCCCACTGGCTTTTTTACCATCCCAGTGGTGAGTCACTAAAGCTATATGTCCAGGTATAGACAGCTCAGACCCCAGTCAGTTAAATTAACGTGCTCCAGTGAGTTATTTTTTTCACCTCTACACTCCCCACAGGTGATTTCTCATAATGATGAATTTTGTATCTTCTAGTTTTATGGGAATTAGCACCTCTGCTACCCAAATATGTAAATACTAGGGAGTGAAAAACTTCCAGCCTCGATACCTAAGCGTTTCACCCTGCAATCAAAATGGTTTTGTCTCTACAAGATAGTAAATATTTGAGAAGCATGTAAGTGTAGGATTTATAAAATTGGTTCACCACACCTAGACCCATTTAGTCCAGAATCCCATTTCTAGCACTATCCCAACATGAGGTTGTTCCTGAGGAAGATGCAGGAACTGAGTAAGAGGGTATGGAAAAATCTCGCAACAGTCAGTACAACTTTGAAGAATTTCAGACTGGCTTCTGCTCATAAGCGTTTGGTTCTGACATTTTAACGTTAAGACTTATTAGCGCAGTTCCCTCTGTTATCCATACTAACATTCTCATTTTTGTCGGTCCTCTTGACTTCTCATAGTGGTGAGTTTTCATATTTAAACCATTTTATGCAGTTTGATTTTGATTTTTAAATTTCATTAAAGTAGTTCTTATATTATGAATATGGAACGCAGAAGCTCCTGATCTATTTTTTTTTTCATTTCTTACTTTGTGTAATAATTTGTAATTGTTATCTCATTGAATCTTCTCATCACAATAAACAACCAATATTTTCAGTCTTACTGTAATGTTTTTCCACTCTTTTCTGCATTTTGTTGTCATGTTCTCTGACCTCTTATTTAACCATTCTTCCATGTTCTTTCCTTTTCTGACTGACATTGCCTGCTGAGCTTTATTTGGTAACCATAGCAGAGAAAAGGCAGCAACAAGGGCTGTACAAAACCTCTTTAGAGCACCTGGATTATATACAAAGATTTTTAATGCACCTTCAGGTCTTTTCTGCTGCATCTTCACTGCCTTGTTACCTCAGCTAGCTCATCCTTGTCAAGCGACTATTTGTGTAATTTTGCTTTTATCTCATATCTAGCTGCACCAAAACATAACCTAAAAATTGCTTATAAGAGCCAAAGTTACAAGCACACTGACTAGATCTATAATTTGACTGTCATAACATTCTGCATCTTTTCCTACGATTTGTACTTGGAAATCTGCTAGCTCTGCTTATGTTAATTCACCTCAGTGGTCAAAATTCTGAAATAAATGTTGTTGTGCTTTAATGTAAACTTTTTATATTAAACTTTTTCTTTTGTGGGAATTTTTTTTTTATATTAAACTTTTTCTTTTGTGCTCCAGTGTAGGGAGCAGTTGTCTTCAAAGTTTTTAGCTGATGCAATGGAAAATGTGATAAGGAATTGGTTTTAGTTCATGATTGACCACTACCTTCAGAATAATTTTTCTTATCTCTGTATATGTTAAAATCCACATTTTTTTTTTTTTTAATATTCCATTATAAATGAGATATAACTGTATCAGTTTTTATAGCATTCCACAATTTTCAGAATACTAAAATCATGACTCCTAAAAATGCTTTTGAAATCTTCAGGTATCACAGGTACCTCTGAGAGCCTAGCTTTGCACGCCATAGGAAAGTTGCCCATCTACATTGCAAGAGTTTGACAACACGTGCATTTGCTGTACTGTCTCTTTTTCTTCTGGTAAATTACTTCCTTCAAAAATATTAGTTTTTATTTGTTACAGAATAGATATTTTAATAAACAGAAGGTCATGAAATCCAGGAACAGTGGATAGCTTTGTTAGCCTGGCAAAGGGTGTTAGCCGCTTTCCTTGTTTCTGTTGTGTCGGCACGTTTCAGTGAGGCAAAAGGTGGTTTACGGTTGCTGTCCCTCGCCCCCGTGTACATCCTGTAGGCACTTACCTCATTGCCTTATACACCAGCCTCTCTTTCAAAAACCAAAACGTTGGGCAGTAGCCCATAAGCCGTCAGCTACGGGGGGCTTGATGTGATATATTCATGGTCTGTTCATTTCATTTTTTTGGAAGAGTCATTTTTGCCTCTGCGTTCTGTCAGTAGTGTGCAATGGGAGTCTTCTGTTGACTTCAGTGGAGTTTTTGAGAGTGAAGTGATTGCTGGCCCGGGCCCTTCGGTTAATGTTGAAGGCTGAATCCTGACACCGTTGTAACTAGTGGCAAAACATTCTGTGAAATTTGTGACCGTAAGAATGTGAAAATAGGCATGTAGGACTGGAATTAGATAGTTCACCAAAGATATTATCTAAAATTATTTGGGTGGGTTAGAGTTTAAATTCTAGTTACATCCATTACTGACTTGATCCACGCTGGTTTATATTGCTATTATATTTTCCTATTGTGATGTAAAGCCTAGAATATTACTAGATTCCCGAGTTACTATCCCCAGCGGCCATATCTGTTAGTTCTGAAGCTGACACACTGCTTTTTAAGAAATTGTCTTATGGGACACTGAGCAGACAGGCAGGATAGCAAACAGTCGCTGAGGAAGAGTGCTTCCTGTTGCACCAGATTTTTATCTTATGCTGACCAGTATATTTAATCATTAAGATAGCTACATTTTTGTGCTGATTATCCTATTGGGTTTATGGTTTAAAATGTTTTCCTTGGAGATTTCCTCTTGTTTCTTCTGCTGTTTTTTGAATAAACTTGGCTTTCAGTTAGGATGACCGATTTTTGCGTGCACATGGGCAGCTGGTGGGAGTAATTAAAGGAAGAGGAGGAAAGTACTTTCTAAGTTGAAGGTACTCGTAGAGGTTTATGACAGTTTCTGAAGTAGCTCCCAGACTTCCAGCTCTGGTCTGGCTGGAAGTTTTCACGGGTGTCTATTGCCATGGAGGGACAGGAAAGAACTTTTGGTTACATTCCTCTCTAAAAGACATTAGGAGAGCGAAGAGTCTTGACAAACAACTTAATAAATCATGATAATCAAGCAGTAAGGAATCCCTTGGGAATTCCTTTTGGAGAATAAAAAGAGCGAGCTTGTGAGGCCTTGCCAATTAAACGACTGAGTGTAAATTACTCATATGTTTCACATACACAGAAACTCAGATTTTTATCTCCCTCCCTTTTGTCACCGTTTTCTTCCCCAATCCACCTTACGGCCCTGTCCGGGACCTCCCCCCGGCGCTGCCCTCG